GGCGTCACTCAGACCAGAGGGCTCTTAGGTCAAGGGTTCGGATCCCCATACCGGCCAGCTGCCCAAAACAAAGAAAAAACAGACCAGAGGACTCTTGACAATGGCATGCTGCAGCCAGCTTGTACTGGCGCACAAGAGCCTGATTATTAGGTTTTCAGGAATTTTGTAAGCCAGTTGTTGAATACAGCCATTATTAAAAATTATATAATTACGTTAAAAACAAAGGTAAGAAATACTCAAAACTTGTCACTTCCTTATTTTACTGCATTTTTACTACATTTTACTATGCTATGTCCTTGATATATTTACTTTTATTGTGTTTGTATAATGGTGTGCTACTCTTCCCAATGCTGCATTCAGTTACCTAGCTTAAAACTGGCTGTGGTGGGAGTATTTTTACTATGGAAATTGGCAAACATGACAAATCAGGGTCTTCCCCTGACTTTGGAGATCCAGTTTTAAACATTTACCAGCATAATACTGGTTATTTGGATATTTCATCCTGCCTTGCTGGGGCTTCTGAGACTATGAAGGCTTATGCAGCACCAACTTCTGATGCCCACTGAGGGCAAAGCTTCTGGCAGCCTGACTGTGGACTCCTGTGCCTGTTTGATGTGACCCATATTCCTCCCTTTTCCCAGGCCCTTCCATACTTTGACCGGCTAGACTATGTGTCCATGATGTGTAACGAACAGGCCTATTCATTGGCTGTGGAGAAATTGCTAAACATCCAGCCTCCTCCCCGGGCACAGTGGATCCGAGGTATGCCCCGCCCCTTCTTCCTATGGCCCACTGTGACCGCTGCACAGTGCCTTCCCCAACCCTTCCCCATCTTAGGAGCACTGAACCCAAGCTTAGTATTCAGACACCAGGCTCTGCCCAGACTGCTCTGTCAGCCTGGATCCTTGGCTCTTACTTCTTCTCTTCACTGCTCTACAGTACTATTTGGAGAAATCACACGGCTTTTGAACCACATCATGGCTTTGACCACGCATGCCTTGGACATTGGGGCTATGACCCCTTTTTTCTGGATGTTTGAAGAAAGAGAAAAGGTATGAGGGTGAAGAAAGGATAGGAATATGGAAGGAAGTAGAGAAGGTGTGAAGGAAACAAGAGATTAAAAATAGAACATGAGGTGAACATTTAGGGGGAGAAGATGTATTTAACTTTAGTTATCTTCTTAGGAACCCTCTGTCATGACGGATTGGTTGGGCACAAGGAAGCAGAGGGCAGGGAAATGGGCCACTGTGTTGTGGAACTTAGGGGCCCAGGACTTTGCCACTAATTCCCAGTGTGTCCTCTCAAGATGTTTGAGTTCTATGAGCGAGTGTCTGGAGCCCGAATGCATGCTGCGTACATCCGGCCAGGAGGAGTGCACCAGGTAAGTTGCTCCCCTGCCTCCCTGAACTTCTAGTTCAGGCCTGTTTCCTCTGTGGCCACTAGAGGGCAGTGCTGGCTGATGGAAACTAACCCTGTATCCCTGGGGTAAGGTGGCTCTCCTTAGTGGAGGCTATACTCAATATTGCCTCCATTTGGCTTCTAGGACCTACCCCTTGGGCTTATGGATGACATTTATGAGTTTTCTAAGAACTTCTCTCTTCGGATTGATGAGTTGGAGGAGGTAAGATAGGAGTTGATGGGAAAAATCTCTCCTTTCCTCCAAGAAGGGCTTGTGGGGTTTTAGTCCCCATTGTAAAGAAATAGACTGAGGTCGTTGAAGAATGTAATGAAGAGTATTAACACACCAGTTTTCTTGATCAATAGATGCTGACCAACAATAGGATCTGGCGAAATCGGACAATTGACATTGGGGTTGTAACAGCAGAAGATGCGCTTAACTATGGCTTTAGGTGGGAGGAATATAACTTCTCTCTTTAGGGATGGGAGTGGAAGTGGGGGAGTTCTAGCCTAATATCTTGGCTTTCTTGCCAAGCTTTGAGTTTGTATCCCACACCCCAAGTGTGGGAGAGGAAAAGGGGAGACTAAGAATGTGCCTCCTTTCTTGGTTTGTGAAGCTTGGTCTTTATCCCCATTACACTGTCTACAGTGGAGTGATGCTCCGGGGCTCAGGCATTCAGTGGGACCTGCGGAAGACCCAGCCGTATGATGTTTATGACCAGGTGGAGTTTGATGTTCCTATTGGTTCTCGAGGGGACTGCTATGACAGGTGAGGCCCAAATTCTTTCTTAGCTCATTGTCCAGCTAGTTTCCCTGACCTCACTTTTCTCTTTGCCACTTTCTTCTTTACCCTACTTCCCAATGTCTATGGGAACTCTTATGTGTGTTAAACTAGGTTGCTTTTCAAAGCACTTTCATGTTTGGCATCCCTTACATTATCCCTGTCTTAGATGGAACTAGTTTTGGCTGCATTTTATAGCTGAGAAAGCTGAGGCATGAAGTTAGGGATTAGCCTGGGATTATTCTGTTAGTAGTGGTTGAGACTAGAATCCTCCTGATCCAGTTCTCTTTCCACTTGATTCATTTTTTTTTTTTTTTTTGTAAAGATGACTGGTAAGGGGATCTTAACCCTGGACTTGGTGTTGTCAGCACCACACTCTTCCAAGTGAGCTAACCGGCCATCCCTATATAGGGATCCGAACCCGTGGCCTTGGTGTTATCAGCACCACACTCCCAAGTGAGCCATGGGCTGACCCTCCATTCGATTCTAAGCTTCAAATTTTACTCCTATTTACTGACTTGGAGTAAGATTTACTACTGTGTGGTTTTGTTTGTTTTTTGTTTTTGTTTTTGTAGCTAGCTCGTATGGGGATTTGAACCTGTGACCTTGGGTTATAACACTGCACTCTAACCAACTGAGCTAACTGGCCATGCTACTGTGTCGTTTTTTGGTTTTTGTTTTTGTTTTTTAGTTCATTTGACTTTCACCCTTTGTATAGTCCAAAAAGTGTTTAAGAGGGTAATTAAAGAGGGAAATTATACCACAAGCCATGGTCTGAGAATCTGAGAGGTATTGGGGAAGTACCCAATAGTAGAATCAAAAGACTTCAGGGTTTATATGGGCTGCCAAGTCAAGCAGAGATGCTGTACTAGGAGAAAAGAGTGAGAAACCTAACTCTTTTGAGGTCAGCCAAAGGATATCTGTCCCAGGGCATACCTGCTCCTCTGACTGTACTTCTCTTGCTCCAAGACTGTCTCATCTACTTCAGGTACCTGTGTCGAGTGGAGGAGATGCGCCAGTCCCTTCGAATCATCTTACAGTGTCTGAATAAAATGCCTGCTGGGGAGATCAAGGTTGATGATGCCAAAGTGTCTCCACCTAAGCGCGCAGAGATGAAGGTTGGCTGCAGGGAAAGGGAAAGTGTGGAGTATTGGAAGAGGACTAGTGTCTGGGGAGGGGTATCCTTGGATTAAGTCCTACCTTTCAGGTTTTCTTTTTCAAGGAATTCACTGTATAAGATTCTTAACCTCCCATGGCTCTCTTGTTTTATTATGTATCTTCTCTGCTCACTGACTTACATGTGGGTTTTTAGTCTCTCTGAGGGGAGAGATTATTTTCTGTGCTGGCAGAAGGCCTAGAAGACAGTTTGGATCTGGTTTTTTTATGCTCCATTTTTTCTCTCTTCAGTCTTCCATGGAGTCACTGATTCATCACTTTAAGTTGTATACTGAGGGCTACCAGGTTCCTCCAGGAGCCACATATACTGCCATTGAGGCTCCTAAGGTGAGAGGATGGGAAGGAAAAGACCATATGTGGAGTGGGGGACTGGAGGTAGATGTTTAACACGATGCTCGTTTATCAGTGAGAGAGAGGACATGAGGATGAACAGAGAAGTTTTGTAGGCAGAGAAAATTGTTCTTATTAATGGAGGCACCCAACCTTCTTCCTTGGACAGGGAGAGTTTGGGGTGTACCTGGTATCTGATGGCAGCAGCCGCCCTTATCGATGCAAGATCAAGGCTCCTGGTTTTGCACACCTGGTAAGAACCAATTCCAATGATTCTAACTCCAGTATGTTAATCCAATAATTTATTAATCTTGCTTGAGATTTTTATGAATTCTTCTCCTTCTCCCACCCTGTAAATCTTGCCTAACACTTTGCTGTCTCAATCTCCCTAGGCTGGTTTGGATAAGATGTCTAAGGGACACATGTTGGCAGATGTCGTTGCCATCATAGGTATGAGACCTATTGTGTAGTAGAGGTATCCTAGACAAGGGGGTTTGGGACTCACACTGGGGACAGAAACTGAACACTTCCTGTTCAATGTGGACTATGGGCATAGGCCCAAGTCCTTAATCTCTTAGGCACAGTAATGAGTTCTGGATCTTAGGTAACGCCACTTTTTTTCTTCATCCTCTGACCTCCTAGGTACCCAAGATATTGTATTTGGAGAAGTAGATCGGTGAGCAGGGGAACAGCATTTGATCTCCTCTGGTTATTAACTTCCTCTGCGGAGCCTATCCCTTATTGGAGATGTGTGTGTGTGTGTGTGTACGTGTGTGTACACGTACATGTACACTTAGCTGTCAGGCTTTCTGTTCATGTACTAGCAAAGAAGAAATTATAATAAATTAGCTGCCTTGTGGCCCCTATGCCCAAACTTCTGGTATGTTTTTCTCGGCGTCTTATTGTCCTTCATTTTGATGAGAAACTTAAGAGTGTTCATTTAACCTCCATTTTTCTGTTAGATTTGGGTCTTAGCAATTTTTCCTGCTCATCTCCACCCCCTTCTCTGACTCTTGTCCTTCCTACTTCTCCATTCCCCATTTCCTCTTTTCTCCTCAGTTCCCCCTTGCTCAGACCTTCTCATTGCCCGCACATATTGGTAACGTCCTCAAATCAAGACTGGGAATAAAGTTTAGGTAGGAGGAAATGGGCTATAATGGGGTCTAAGGGCATCTCGAGGGGCATTTTATCATAGATGTATCTCTGAGCAGGGGTGGAATGAAAGATAGTGGATGTCGACAGCCTTTCCCAAGAATGAAAATCTCTTTACTTTATGGGTTAAGAGGGTTGGTCATTGAAGGGCTGAGCCTTAAGAGCCCAGATCTCCCAGCTCCCCTGGTTGGCCCTTCCGGGAGCCGCCCAGTCTCTGGTGCAGGAAGGGGAAGGGGCCAAAGTGTGGGGGAAGGCGTGGCAGGAAGGGGGGAGCTCTGTGGTCAGGGAACTGCGCTGAGCACAGCTGCGTGGTGCTGTCAGAGCGTCCGATCCCCACCTCAACGGCCCCTCAGCCCCCTGCCCAAGATGATTCCAGCAGTGATCTTGCTCTTACTCCTTTTGGTTGAACAAGCAGGTGAGAGGGTGTGGTGAGGGACAATGAGCTGGGATCCAGAGTAGGAATCAAGGGACAGAAGAAGAAAGGCCGACAGTGGGCAGGTGGGCACAGGGACTGGGCTGAGACAGGGCTGGCCAGTTAGCTCAGCTGGTTAGAGCACAATGTTATAATACCAAGGTCAAGGGTTTGGGTCCTGCATGCACTGGCCAGCCATACAAAGAAAAAAAAAAGTGGGGGTGGGGGGCACTGAGGTACAGATACCTTGAGGCTGGTCCTCTCTGGTGGTCCTGCATGCACTGGCCAGCCATACAAAGAAAAAAAAAAGTGGGGGTGGGGGGCACTGAGACAGGTACAGATACCTTGAGGCTGGTCCTCTCTGGTCCCCACCCAGGGCACTAGAGTCAGTTCCCTCCTTGTCCACTTCCTACCTCATTCCGGACTTAATTTTGTCTTTTCAGGATTGATATAAAGTATCAGTTTGGCAGGGGACAGGAATGGTTGTATGGCATGAAGAGCTGGTCTGGGGTAAAGCTCCTTTTTCCAAGATCAGCATTTCCCATGGGGTGCCTTTGGTCTGGTGCGCTGGGAGCCGACGTATAGCTGGTTACATATAAAAAGCCCCCTTTAGTAAGGCAGCGACCTGTCCTTGTGTTTGGTGGTGAGGCAGGGCAATCAAGACAAACAGGTGGGATTGCTGTTTCTGTGGGTCATCATTAACGCACCCTTCTGTCAACAGCCAATGAGGGTGGGTAGCATGAAATGCCCGGTGCCAGAGACCTGAGCGTCAGCTGAGAAATAGGCGCAGTAATGGGAAGGTCCCAGCAGCTCTAAAGCTCCAGTCACTCTATTTATTTATTTATTTATTTTTAAAAGATGACCAGTAAGGGGATCTTAACCCTTGACTTGGTGTTGTCAGCACCACGCTCACACAGTGAGCAAACCGGCCATCCCTATATAGCATCCGAACCCGTGGCCTTGGTGTTGTCAGCACCGCACTCTCCCGAGTGAGCCACGGGCCGGCCCTTCCAGTCACTCTATTTAAAAACTCTCACTTGCTCCCTTTGGGTTGTCTATGCTGGAAGGGTGTCTGTGTGTGTTTCAAAGGGGGTTGGTGGCAGCTGGGTGTTCAGGAGGAGGGGCTTAAGTTAGTAAGCTTGAGGGAAGTGGGAGATTGAAAGAACAAGTTGGGAGGAGTTCCACCAGCCAAGTTGAGAAGGTGGAGGGAAGCATTAAGTTAGTGGCTTGTTTGCTGCCGTGGAATGAGGAGGGAGAAGGGGTACTGCGGCATAACAAGAAGAGAGCACAGGCTATGGAGACAGAAAACCTAGATTTGGGTTCCAGCTCTGTTGCTTAACTCTGTATAAGACTGAATGAGTTAGCTTTTCCGAGCCTTGGTTTCGTCATGCATAAAATGGCGATGATGATGTTTCCCTCACAGGGTAGTTTTGAGGTTTATGCAATAGTGTGTGTGTGAAAGAATGTTTGAATAGAAAGTACTTGACTAATGTCAGTACTTGACTAGTCCTTCTCATGGGGGCCAGGAGCAATCTCTGGAGCCCAGACCCTATTTGATTTTTTTAATTGCACAAAACTTCCCCTCTCAGAGGCCCAGAGTGAGTAACAGGACAGAATAGCCGGAGATGGAATCCATATAGCTTGTGGTCATTCCCACAGTCTTGTGTGCAAAGCCAATGGTATCTATAAGGCCTAGGAAAGTGGATACTTTGTTTTTCACATATGTAAGTTTCTTGTGGGACAGAAAGCAATGAAGCTGAGTCTAGGAGATGACCAATAATAGAGTAATTGCCTTCCCTCCCTTCCCCAGCTCACATCCTTCCTGTCCAGCCCTCAGCCACAGGTCACAGGACTTAGCAGAGACACCCCTGTGGTTTCTTTGCTGAAGTTTGCCACTGCCTCTCCCTCCCCCTACCCCTCTGGGCTGAGGTTTTGGTCTCAGCCCAGTGAACTTAGATGGGTCCCTTGAGGTGGATGAAGTGCTCAGTGATGCCTGACCCACAGTGTGAAAAAGACGGTTGGGGACTGAGGGGGAAGTCCTCAACTATTAGCACATGTAAGTCCCATCACAACAGGACACTTCACACTTCCTATGGAGGAGAAAGGGGAAAGGTAAGAGAAATAGGTGTCCAGAGAGGAAGATGGAATTTCTTCCTCCAGAGGCTCCCCCCAGGCCCTATCCCATCTCCCAGAGCCGTTTCCCTTCTCTCTGAGCACCAGACCCTTCCTGATGCTCCTGACCCCAAGGGCACCCTCTGTCCCCTCAGCGGCACTGGGAGAGCCTCAGCTCTGCTATATCCTGGATGCTATCCTGTTTTTGTACGGTATTGTCCTCACCCTGCTCTACTGTCGCCTCAAGGTAAGGCAGGGGCAGGGTGAGGGCTGGAAGGGGAAGTGGGAGGGTGGTGGCAGCATGAATTCAAGGAGAGGGAATAAAACGGGGTTACCCCGCAAAGTTTGGAGATAAACGGGATGCGCCACTAACTTCCCCTTTACTGATAACATTTCCCCCACTCTAGATCCAAGTGCGAAAGGCAGCTACAGCCAGCTATGAGGTATGGACCCTGCTACACCTGGGTATCAACAATTTTTCAGACTCTCAGCCTTTTTGGGGCTCTAGCCTTGGGTCTGAAGCCTCTGGAAGGGCATGCATCTCTGGTGCTGATCTGCATATACCTCAGAGGCCCTCACCCACCTCACCCTACCCACCCTGCCACCTAGCCAAGCCACAAGTAAAATATTCGGCAGGTGACAGGGAAGAATCAAGCTTCAGGTGACAATGAATACATGAGAGAGTTGTGTGCTATGTTTTGTGTACGTGTGTTCGTGGCCATGTGATCAAGTGTGTGTTCATGTCCCTGAGCATCCATGTGAGTGCTCCCTAGTCCAAGGTGGCTAGACACCCATGGCCTGATACCTCCCTGCGTGGGGAAGAAGATGCTGAGGGACCCTGAAGGAGGTGTGGGTTTCTAATACCTTGCCCTTTTCATTTCCACAGAAATCAGATGGCGTTTACACGGTGAGTGAACCTGCCTCCCCCATCCAGGAAGTCAACAGAAGACGATGGGATTTTGAGTGACCTTTGGAAGGGGCAGGGTCTATGGGGGTAGGTGGGGGCGCATGATGGGCTCAAGCTCCTGATATCATTTGATTCCTATCTCCAGGGCCTGAGCACCCAGAACCAGGAGACTTATGAGACTCTGAAGCATGAGAAACCAGCGCAGTAGCTTTAGAACAGTTGCCTGTGGTCACATCCTTCTTTGGCTTCTAGTTCTCACAGCCCTCATGGTTGATTGACATCACATATGCTTCCATGCTATTAATGCCAGCTGACCCGACCCCTGTAATGATGCTATGAACCAAATTAAAGTACACCAGGGTTGCTCCTTCCTGTCAAAGACTAATGCTCAGATGCTGTTCATTGATGTTTATGTTCTAGTCTCACTCTCTCACCCATCCTTCTCTTCCCCATCCTGAACTCCTGTTCAACAATGGGAAGGGAGTATACCCAATAAAGCTGCCACAGACTGGACTCCATTCATTCATTCATTTACCATATATACATTCAGCCTCTGCTAAGCACGAGGCTAGATATTGAAGATACGGTTTTGAGTAAGGCAGACAGTTCTGACCTCACAGAACTCAGAGACAGAATGGACTTCAGGATTATTTTGTTTGATTGCAGCTGGGGGAGGGATGAGACTCTTGGCCCCTCCCCCCGCAGGTGCTCTGGGATGGAGCTGGAGCACAGCTTCAGTCTAGACTGTGTTGGCAGTCTAGGCACTTTCAGAGACATTAGAACCTAAGAAATAACTTCTGCACCCGGTGTAGCCTTCTGTGTCTGATAATTGAATGAAGGTTGGTTGTGGGGGAGCCTGACTGTTCAACCCCAAATAGTCACCAATCCAGAAAGTACCAATCCAGTACATGCATGTGAGAATTAGCATAGCTGAAAAGCCAAACATGCAGAAGGGATGGTATGACTAGCTCTGTGTTGAGTTCCTAATGGAAGCTTTTATGGGAATGGTGAGTTTTCAGTGGATCTTGGGACAAGAGGGGCCTTAGAGAGCCTGATAGGAGTTGGAGGTGGATAAGGCAAAGGGGAGTATGTGGAGTCCAGATGGGACATCATTCCCCCAAAACACATGGGTGGGTGGCCAAGGAATCCCTGTCAGTGCCTATTATGTTTCCAAAACTGCCAGGAAGCTCCATCTAGAAGTATTTAAACCTCATCAGATGCTGCCGGTTCTACCTCTCACCCAGCAGTCCTTTCAGTCCTTTCCTCGGCAGCCAATTGGAAGTCTCCAGGCTTATCCCCGGCAACCCCCTATGCTAGCCGATACTTTGCATTGCATAGTGACTTATACTTTTCAAAGTGCTTTCCAGTTCATTCTACCATTTCTTCTGCTCACTAACCCTATCAGGAAATTCAGGCTCTTTGAAGTTAATTAACCTGTCCAAGGTCAACTTGTTTTTTGAGCTTTGGTTTTTTTTCCTTTTTGTCCACTGGCCAGTACAGGTATGGAACCTTGGACCTTTGCATTATCAGCACCACACTCTAACCATCTGCTCTAACCAGCCAGCCCTCAAGGTCACCTTGCATAACTGACTAGATCTTTGTCCCTGTACATTTTGCCACATGAGAAAAAAGTAGGTATTGGGAAAGAGAAGGGGACGGTAGTAATCATGAGTGGTGAGGGTCTTGAAGGCCAGACTAAGAAGGCTGATCAATATACAAGTATAGAAGAAATCGGAGCCATCTCCAGTATCCGGGGGAAAGATGATTTCAGATGAGATATGAGAAATGAGCCAGGGTAGGGAAGTAATTGTTTTAAAGATAAAGTGGGAACAAACTATTATTGGAAAATGACTCATTTTCCCTTGCCCTACATTTTGGGATTATAAGTCTTCCTCCATTAATGCAGCCTGATTTCCATTCAATTTTTATTTAGTCCTGGTATCATAGCCTCCAATGCAGCCTCAGCCAGGGTAGGGAAGTAATTGTTTTAAAGATAAAGTGGGAACAAACTATTATTGGAAAATGCCTCATTTTCCCTTGCCCTACATTTTGGGATTATAAGTCTTCCTCCATCAATGCAGCCTGATTTCCATTCAATTTTTATTTAGTCCTGGTATCATAGCCTCCAATGCAGCCTCATTTCCATTCAATTTTTATTTAGTCCTGGTATCATAACCTCCTGGTATCATAGCCATGTCCCACATGTCCACCATGTTGGATATCTGTCAGGCCTTTAAACAGCTACCATGGCTACTAGTTCCAGGCTCTAAGCTGGCTACAGGCCAGTTCAATAAATAGTACCTGGATAATTCTGGGGAGGAGCTTGGAATGGGTCTTCTCCAGACAGAGTCTAGATGAGAGTTTTTCTGTTTTTTTAAAAGATGACCTGTAAGGGGATCTTAACCCTTGATTTGGTGTTGTCAGCACCACGCTCTCCCAAGTCAGCGAACCAGCCATCCCTATATAGGGATCCAAACCCATGGCCTTGGTGTTAGCACCACACTCTCCCGAGTGAGCCACGGGCCGGCCCTTAGATGAGAGGTTATAAATGGAGGAATTAGAGACACTTTTAGAGAGAAGAGTGCATCCAGGTCTTTTACTATGGGGAGGAAGAAGTGGGTGGGAGGAATATAGTGTTCCCCTGGTTCAGAAGGGAAGGGAGGGTCTCAGGTGATATCCCCTGGGTTCATTTTTTGGAAACTTTCTCCTCTTCATAGAATGACTAAGAGAAAATTCTGAGGGGTGCCCTCATTTCCAGTGATCTTCAGAAGTTTAGGGATTCAGTTGATGAATCCTTCATTCCTTTCATAGTTCCGTGTCCAATGCAAAGGCTCTTTAGTGCTCCACTGAGAGCCATTTCCAGGCCTGTAGAAGACTCCTTGGGTTTAAGGAGAATCACAGGTACCCCCACTTTGTCATTTCCATCATTTGTCTTTAATCCTTTCTCCACCCATCCATACCCAAATCCCTCTTGTTTTTGAACAGATTTCTCTTTTCCCTTTCTCCTACTCCTCCCCCAATCCCCTACTTCTCCCAGCCCCACAAACACACCAGTTTCATAACTTGATTCCTTCAGCATTTATTGTAGAAAATGGGATAGGTAGGGAGAGGGGCTCTAGGCCTGGCTAGTGGGTGTTCTAGGGTCCAGTTGAGGTTGGAAGACAATTGTTTGGACACCTCACTGGGTGGCAGGCTGTGTTTTGTGGTCCGTGAAATGGCTCACGAAGTTAATCAGATCAGTTCCAAACTTCTTGACTATAGGTGTCAGCTGCTCCTGCATCTTTTCAAAGTAAGTCCTGGATAGGTGGGGGATTAAAGGTCAGCATGAGGGACCTAGCCACTGGCAGGGGCCTTGGTGGTGGGAGGTCAGAGCAGACTGACCAAGGTCCCCAAACTCTTCTGCCTGGTCCATCCTGGTATGTCAAAGCCTCTAGAAGGAGGGGCAAGCCCTCCATTGGGCAGAGGAACAGACCCTAGAGATTGAAATTCAAGGCCCAGTTCCCGCTGCCCCTATCTGTCCAACAGGCACGTGGAATCTTTGTGTAACAAAGGAATTTTTCTCTCTAATTTAAGCATAATCCTTCCTAATCTCCACCCCTGAGCTTAGTCTTCCTTGGCCCTCCCACCTTCCCTTCTTTCTCCACACAGTCCCACAGCCCTTGAACCCCTTTCCCGGAGACTTACTTGGCCTGGGCCTGAAGCTCTGTGCTCTTGGCCTTGTCCACCAGGTCCTTGCCATAATCGGTCACAGTCTGAAAGTACTGAGAGAAGAGGCTCTGCAGACTCGGCTCCTCCGCCTGTCTCCGAACCAAAGCTCCTGCATGTTTGGCCTTGTCCACCAGGTCCTTGCCATAATCGGTCACAGTCTGAAAGTACTGAGAGAAGAGTCTCTGCAGACTCGGCTCCTCCGCCTGTCTCCGAACCAAAGCTCCTGCATGTACACACACACACACACACACACACGTGTGCGTGCGTATACACACAAACACACTCTTCTTAGCTGGGTTTGCAGCAGTGAATCCAGGCCTCCTGCCACACCTCTGCCAGTACCCATTCCAGCTCTCAACCCCCTCCCCAAATAGGTACCCAGGCAGGTCTTTGGATGGGTTTTCTGGGCTTTAGAGAGGGAATAATCTTCCTTTAGTGCCATCTGGTTGCCAGATCTGGGCATAGGAGCAAAGACTGATGGAGGGCTAGGACCCCCAGCATCTTCTCCTCATTGGACCCCCCTCTCCAAATCACACCCACCTTCAAGGCTACAGATGGTAAGGAGCAGCATGGTCATTGCAAGCAGCTTCATGGTGGCAACAGTGGGAAAGATGGCCTAGGAATAGTGTTGGTGGCAGGGGAGAGGGGAACACTGAAGCCAAATGGCTTCAGCCCTTCCACAGGGAAATCCCTCCCTATGTCCCCACCCCAACCTTGTTCCCTCCCTTTCCACAATTAAAGCCCAGTCCTCTTTGGATGCTGCCCACACCTCTTTCTCCCTTACCCTACCCAGTCAGAGTCTTTGTCCTTGGGGTCTGTGCCTGGCCATTTGGAGAGGAAAGGGCTATATATTTGTCCACTTCCCCACCCCCTGTCAGGTGACAGGGACCGTAGAGGGGCCCAGTGGGGCAAGGATCATATTGGAGTAAACAAGTTGGAGAAAAGGGGGAGGAGAGGACAAGCACATGGGGGACTCATGGTGATGGGGTGAGAGGTAGTGGGTAAAGGCCTTAGTGGAGGCCAAGGGGACAAACTTCAGGTTTATTTGAGAGTCATTCTTTTGGGGTCTGGTGCTAGCGGTCCTTGGGCTTGAATGCAGCAGGAAGCAGGATTCCTAGCTATTTCTCTGGAAAGCTCTGACATATCAAGCCCTCAGCCCTTGTTATATTTATCCCATTATGGGTAGATTTCATCTCTCCAACCCTACCCCTTTTCACTGCACCTTAGCAGAGAGGTATTGGGGAACAGAAGAAAGGAGAAAGGAGTTTCAACTAGTGGCAAGGGTAAGGGATTGGGGCTTAGGGGAATGAGGGTCAGGGTCAGAGGGCTGGTGTGATTGACTCTGTCCCTTTTTGAGTTAATGTGTAATGAGACATGGGGAGAAAGCATGAGAGCCCAGAATGATCCTCGTGGGTGCTGTTCAATGAGCATATGCTACCCCCAATAAAACAAATTCCAAAAACAGCCTCTGTCCTCTCCCTCCCACTGGAGGGCTCTGGCAGGAAGAGGTGTATAAGAGCCTTCTGCCAGGGTAAAGGTTGAAGTGTATGGTCATTTGATCACCTTATCAGTTCTAGGTAATGGTCAGCCAGTATTGCGTTAGCAGGGGCAATGGCATCCCTCTGGCCCTTGTCCCAGCCCTGATTGTGAGGGAGGGCACAGGTACTCTCCCCAGGCCCAAAGCATTTGGGTGAAATCAGCTCAGTAGATGTCAGAAGCATTTGTGTCTTTCACCCTTTTGCCCTCAAAGCTAACTTCCTGTATACATGGAACATTCCTGAGACATCGGAGTGGGGATGTGGAGTTGGAAGCGTGGGAACTAGTGAGGGAGGTAGTGACCAGAGACCAAGAAATCTCACTCCATCTTCAATTATTCTCCTGTGTACTGGTTAGTGCTTGAGGGTCACCCCATTGGTTTGCCCCTGGCCTTGGGGTGGAGCACATTTGGGGTCCAGAATCCATGGTCCTAGATTTTATTTGCCAACTCTGCCTGAGGACTTGGGGAAGGAAGGGTTAACTGTAGAGGGCAGCTATTTCAGGGAATAGTTCGTTAGAACCTGCACCTCTACTCCAAACTCTCATACCCATTTCCATTCCACCACGAAAACAAGAGGGCGAACTTTGAGAGGGTTAGATCTCCAGAAGGGAGGTGTGAGTCCATGTCCTAGGGAGACCTGTGCTTGGGAGTAGTATTTATTTGGAGATGGACTGTGAAGGACTGTGCGGATTCCCCAGGGGCTCGGAGGGGGGGGGGGGGGAACGCCTTGAACTTTTTTCCAACCCTTGTTTCTTCCCTTCCTTCCCCCCCCCCCCTC